AATTTAACTGCAGTTACAACATTTATTCTATAATATAAATTGATGAAAATTTGGTCTCTACTGATTGAAAATAGTTGACTGTATGGTAAGTAATATAGGGGAAGAAAAATCTAGAAATAAACCGTTAGATATATAGCAAATAACAATTTGCAACAACAAATTAACATTAGACTAGACTATGTAGAAAATTCGAAGTGGAAACATATGGAGGCATTTGTGACAACATGTTATCAAATGCATTAAACAATTCGAATTATGAATGGAAAATAGCCAAAATTCTGATAACTTCCAATAATTCCTTGGATATTTAAAAAAACTAAAAGTTAGCCGCGCCAATTGGAAGCTCACTCAATTCCGTTCTTCATTCAAGGTAAAGACGAAAAATCCATTTATTTCGGGATGCCTATAACAATGACAACATTGGATTGGTTTACTACAATATTAATGCGAATTGTTCACAATGTCAAATCGAGGTATTTTCCTCAGAATGTACCGGCAACTGGATTCATATTTCGGTTTGTACCACTGCGAACACGTCGGTGATCGTACAAGTGTCTATGAAAAATCATCGTTTTCAATAGTGGAGAAAAATACGTGTCATCTTCACTGATCATTAAACACGTAGAAACTTTTATCGAAGAAAACTTTGCTTTTATTAATTATGTTCGGGGTATATTTATTCCAAATGTCTCAGTGTTATTCATGTCTTCTTCTTTAATTTTTAAGTGATAGTTCTTTATCAATCTTTTTGTAACGACTTCTTAATAAACAAATTTATTTGAAGTCCAAGTAAGATCAGAGGAATTCAAACTCTATATGAAAAGTAGACTTTTTGTAAGAACAATATTTAAGTAAGACATTTACGCTTGTTCCTTGAGTCATATAATCTCGAGGAAGGTTTGAATAACTACTCTCGACAAATACATATTGCCTTATATTATATTGTACCCTCCAACTAGGAAATAAAAGTGATATTTTTCTATTTTTGTCAATATTTCATTTCTTAATGTATATAGTAGTATGATTCTTGAACCATTTCAATAATTATTTTCAGAATTTTCAAATTAATTTTTTAAAAATGAAATATGTTTCAAGGGATATAAGCGAATAAATTCATAAGAAATCAAATGTCTCGAACAAACGCAGAAGTTAAGTAATAAAAGTTGAAACCTTTTTCAATTTTTTCAAAAGTTTTTTAGGAATTGGATTTTTTTAAAGAACTGGACTTTGAATTTCTTTAGTCTTTGTACATGGAAAAGAAGAAATTCGAATATTTCAAATATTTGGATTTTTGATTAATAATTCATCACGCAGTTTTCCAAGTGACAAAGCAGTAGTATCGTGGATCGGAATAGGTACGGTTTAGTAATGAACTGCAGAAGCGACTTAGAATGTTTTCAAATGTGTACATCACTTATTCAAATTTATGCATAAAATTGCTTCTAAGGGCAACTTTTGTTGTTTAGAACCTTTACTTGAGAGTATATTTTTAAATGTGCAAAAGATTTTTTGATCATTGATAAATTAAAATTTCAATTTTAAAATTGATCAATCAACCAATTTTCTTTTACTGCATGCAACATTTGCTATGACAAAATTAATTAATTTACAGAAGTACGTATAATTTTTGCATAATTCATTCTGAAGAAGAGTGTAATTGCCAAAATTTTTCAATAATGACAATAACTCTAAATCGTCTTTATCAACATCGATTATAAATTATCACGTAGCTGCATGTCAACATCGATTATAAACTGTCACACGGCTTTGTCCGTCACAAAGAATTTTATAAAATAGAAGTTATGTAAATCTTAACAAAATCATAAGAAATACTAAGTAAAATATAAAACTATGAAGTGGAAATATCAAAGCGCTGTTACACAGATTACCGCTACAGCGACAAACTGAAGGGCTGTGATCATGGTGACATTCGAAATTGTTACCAGTCAGCTTATCACGATATATAAGTCTTTGACAGCCACGCATGACGAATTTTAAATCTAGAAAGTATGCAAATTTTATTGGTGAAATATATCCAAATAACAAATGAGCAAAAAATAACTGTCTTTAAGAGGCTTTTCCTCAGATAGGTAAGCCCAAAAATTTTGGCTAATTTGCTTTCATGTTTTCCAGGATGAAATGTAATTACAATGATTCAAACCAATACACTGATCCTGTCTCCGATCGGAAAAATGTCATATCGAATTCAAAAAGATTTACATCTGGAAAATTTTAAAAATCAAAATGTTCACGACAAACAATTCAATGAATTCTTCTGTCCACAGATATCTTACTTTTAATATAAAATATGAAATAAGTGCGAAATCTTCCAATCACTTCAAATAAAACGTGTCACACTGACTTACTAACCTTTTTGTCGTACTGTGATTTTGATACATTGATCGTCCGGTGAGCAGTTTATCTGTTTTACACTTTTGAACTCGACATCTTCTGAGTTGATACATGACCTATCAACTGGTGGTACCATAAAGGTCGAATAAAGTACCGTTTTGAATGCTCGTTGTGCATCCTTACTAATATTAGAGGGTAAACTGGATGCGCAGTTATAACAGTGAAATGCTTCACTACAGAAGAATAAGAGAAATTCAAAAATAATTAATGTAACAATGACAGACATATTGTCAAATTTAACACTTTTTGATTGTTCTTATGAAAGTATTCGTTTTAAAAAAAAGATGAAAGAAACTGAATGTATTGGAGAAGTCAGTTTGAATTTTTGAAGTAGCAAATGAAGAAGACAATAGCGCCATTCAAGTTTTAAAAGAGTTGAAAACAGGACCTTCCAAAAATTCTGTGAGATTTAAATTCAACTGTGGCCAGTAATTAGAACGATCGTACCACGGCGTGAATGGAAGACAGCTGGACATGACGAAACTAGCAGGAATGGAGTTCAGGAAATGAACATTGCAGTGAAGTTACCATGGAAACAGGAAAATATTAAAGTAGTTTAGGAGAAAACATATTCACTCCTTGAAACTATTTCCGGTTCGCAGGATTCGGAATGTTTCGCAAGTATTCTAAAGTGTCAAACGAATCTGTGTTAATTATCATATCCTGAAAAAAAAAAAACGCGTACATTGTCCAAAGAGAAAAATTTTGTACAACGCAGACGTGTTATGTGAGTGATCGATGAATGTATTCGTTGATCGATGTGGTAAAGAGGAAAGATGGCAAAACGGATGCGGGGTAAATAGTTGGAAAGCAACACCTGTGATTTTGCAAAAAAGTAAAAATTGAAGTTAATAAAAAATCGAAGACGATATTTGGCTGCAAAATTATTTTTCCATCCCACTGTATTTGCATAGATTTTAGACTTGGACTCAGCTAATTTCATGAACTAATTATAAAATTAATGCAAGAAGCATATTCGTAATCTATACTTGATAAATTGTTATCACAATCACATAGTTATCAGACGTCGTAGTATTAAACTTTTCGTGCATTTCAACAAATCAGTCAGGAGCATTTTTTTCAAAACTATAAGAAATACTTAATAAATTTCAAAGAATGATACATTAGCGCCCATTGTACAGTCGTTAGTCACATGTCAATCCCGTGAAAAATAATTTCGAAATTTAACAATCTTCTCAGCATTTTTTTTCTCAAAAAAAAAAATGTCAATTCTGGATTCATAAATTTTCCTCTCTTTAGAACAATGTTTGTCACTCTTTGTCAATTTACGGACATCCAGAAGAATGCGTGAATTGTCTTCCAGTTACATGTGCACGACAATATCTTACATGCAGTATTACGAATGAGGAATCATTTAGAGATCAAATTTCTGCTGCGTTTCATTCTTAGAAACCGGAAAAATTGCTTCATATTAAATTGAAGAAAAATCTAATATTAGAATTCAATTGCAAATATTTGTTAGTAAGATTTAAAAGTTTGAGAAGCAAAACATCTTGGTAGAATATGCAAAACTGAGTTGTTTCATCTTTCTGCAATTCATTTGACCTATTTGGAAACTTAGAAGAATAACTCTTTCTTGGCGAGTTTTCCAGAACAACCAGCGGATTTTCTCTGGCGAATGCGAAAAAAAAATTAAAACATATATTTGAATGTTTCTTTTCATAAAAGAGCTTATAATTTATTTGGTCGTTGTCCACTGCATAAATCAATATTACTAAAAAGTATTTGTTGTGCAATCAGATAATGAGTAAGAGTAAAAGATACTTGAAACTTTGATCAGTCACTGAATAAATAATGATCAGACAAAGTTAACATCCAGAACCAGTGAATTTTTTGCAAATTTAAGTTCGAGATTGGATTTAGTTTTTAAGAGAATAAGTTATGCTATAAATTCAGTTTATTGAAATAAATTTCCTGCAAATTTAATCTAAAATAATTTTCAAATTTTCGAATTTAAAACTGTATCAGTTATTTTTTTAAAAGTCATAGTTGGAATTACTAAGTAAAAAACCCGAACTTCAGCAAATTGTTAAAAATTAAATTTCTAGTCAAGGAAAATGTTACAAATATGTAATTAAATCGACTTCATTCACTCATTCATTCATTCATTCATTCTCAATGAATAATGAAGCTCATCATCAATGCCATCATCAGTCAGCCATCGTTATCATTATCATTATTATCATCATTATTACCATACTATTGTTATAATTGCTATCATTGTCACTATCGTCATCAACATCATCATCATCATCATCATCAACATCATCATCATCATCATCATCATCAACCCAATCGTTATCGTTAACTTGTCAATGAAAATGGACTCGCCCAATATGAGGGTCGGTTTCATCTGATGATTTACGACCGCCTAAAATGTCCGTGCCCTATCTCTTGTATACACCATTTAACGACAATATTTTCACTTGATCTGTACGTTTGCTTGCGTGTGCATGCCTTATTGCTTGTCTTTATGCTTTTTTTAATTGTTCAAATTAAATTATTGCTTTAAATTTTAAATGTTGTTTCCTAATCTTCCAAACAGCTCTCTGAAATTCACATCGTTCATATTCAAACAAACAGAATGATAGAAGACAGATGAGCGGACAAAGCGACTAATTTACTTTATACTTACGGGACAAATTTACCAGGCCTTGGAAAATTTATTTTCAGTGTTGCCTCTTTTGTCAACGAAGAGACAAATGAAGACAAGGAGAGGGAGGAAATAAAAATTTTTAGGAAGCAAACAAAATTTGGGGTGTCACAGTTATAAACCAGTAGTGAAGTGTCCCCGTATCAGCCGTCCTCTTTTGTCTTCCTCTTCTTCGATTACAGTAGTCTATTTGTGAAATATTTGTCAAAGCGTTACAAATTAGTAAGGGGACAAGGGAAAAGAGACAGTCTTTCATTTGCCATCGTATATTCCGATTCCGCACCGCTGATTCAGCATCGCTGATTCCTTTTCCGCTTTTACTCTCCTTATCATCCAGAAGCTTGTCTATCCTGGCTACTGAACAAGGCTACCTGAATGCAATACGACCGATGACTGTTGCTTGCGCACATATACAGTGGAGCAATGTGCTACAACAATAAGCTAAAGACGAGCACTGGCGATGAATTATATCATCTTTCTACTACTCTTTCTCGATCCATTTGTCGATTACGTCATCGCGATCTCATGGCTGTTAATTTTTTTTTTTGCAACAGTTATACTTAAAGTCTTAAATATTAATTTATCTAAGTCAGACTTCCAATAAATATCAATCAGTTTTTTAATTAATTACCTTACTAATTCCATTAAATCAAGTTAGTATAAATGGCTAGCATTATGTCAAGTTGCAGTTCCCACAAGTTGTTTTTATATTTGTCTTTTTACTAGGACATTTTCCATAATTTTCATAAAATCCTTCACGAATTAAAACTATATGATCACTAGATAGTGCTACCATAGGTATACAGTAAGCTACTGAGAAATGAAAATATTAGGAAGGAAGTAATCAAAATTACCTGACATAACTTTGAGTACAAGGTTTTGAACCTATTTAAAAGACCAGAATTTATCTAAACGCGAAAGATTGATTTAATTTCAAATTCAAGTGATGTTTAATTTGGATGAGTAGATGAGCTGCATGAGTTGCCACAAATGGATAATCAACTAAACGATGTCTGATTCCATATTCTTCCATCTCAAATTTTGGATAGTCGGGAAGCTTTAAAAATTAGCTTACTTGAAAAAAAAATGAAAACTCCGGAATATTTTGTGCAAGAAATCCAGATACAGAGTCCTATAATTGGCTTTTGATGAACTGAATCGCTCCACCTTTTCGATGATTTTATTACTTATCTTCTGCAGGTCATTTGATTTCTCTTCTCTTACTTTCTCTAAAAGAATCTGGTTGGCAAGATTGCTGTAAAAATTAATCAAGAAATTTTCGCTTCTATCAGTGGATGACATCTGTAAATTGAAGTTTAAATTTGCATTTTTTAAAAGAAAGGTAAGAATATAAATCAAAAGTTATGTTGGAGGCTCTTTTTCTGTCCCAAGAAAAATCTAAAAATGTTCTGAAACCATTCCCTCTTCTTCTCTTTTTTCCTTTTTTTTACTTTTTCATTTGAGCCAAAAATTCTACGCTGGCGCCATTCTGGCACATTTTTAGGACGACTTCTATCGATCGATCCTAATTGCTTTTATTTTTTTATGCAAATTAGAATGTTTTGAAAGTGGATACAAGTGCTCATTGGTCATCAGGTCAGAAAAGACCCTATTAATTCTAAAAAGAACTGTTTCATTTTTCCTTTCACATTGCTAAATTAGTTCAGATTAGACAGGAGTACTTGTCGCTATCACTCATATGAGTAGTAGAATTTAAGAAACTTTCTAAAATTGCCAACAGTCACTAATTTTTTTGAATCGCGTCATTTTGTTCGGATAATTTTCCCTTTCCTGAGAAAGATCATAATCCGTTCATTAAAATCGTTTGTGATATTGTCAACTGATAGAATGAAAGAGTGTGTGAAATAAGTAACCAACAAATGTAAAGTTGTTGTTAGCCAAGAATGGGACAAATGATAAGCATGGGACAATGAATTGTAAGTATAGGACAATTGTCCAAGTGCAATGATCAATGATTTCTAGACAGAATTAAGAATTCATTCTCATTCTCTTTTACCTTCCATTCATGCATTCATTCATTCACTTAAACAACAATTGTGAAAATGGATAGCATCACTTAGTGGATTTAAAATTTCCTTTAAAATGATAAATAACATTTGACGAATGAAATCGATTGGCTGTTGAGCAACGACGACGATGATGATGATACGAGTAGCAGTCTCTCTGAGCAAAATGGAAGGAAGGAACCCTCCCCACTCCCTAAGGCAGTCATCAATTTAGTTCAGCCAACGTCCCTCTCTTTTCCGCCCCATCACAGTTTATGACAACTTACAAACTACCGTATCCCATTCAAATGATACTTTGTAATCATAATATATTCTTTCCTCAGTAGGAGAAAATAGCTTTTCTGCATGCAAAATTCATCAATCTGGAAAACGTTCATGTTTACTTTTAAGCTTTCATTTGTACCTTTTAAATTTACTAAAAAGTAAAAAGCTTTTAAGGTAATTTCTGACAAAAAGATTGGCATATCATTCAGTGACCAGTTATCAATGACAAATATTGACATTTAATCAGGAAGGACGTCGCTTCTTAATTATTAATTATTCTCAAGTATAAAATGAAGAGTTCGATTTTTAAAACATCCTGACGTTGTCTTTCTTTAACAAATTGTCATATACATCATTATCGGTAATTGTTTTAGAGCTTTAAGCCTGTCCAGTTCAAAGATAGACCGATTGCATCCACAATGGTCATGTCGGCATCTGCATGGACTCACTCGCAAACAGGTCATACTCAAGATTCTTCGAGATTGGAAAATTAAATATTACAGAATCTGAAATTTTATAGAACAAGAAATATGTTAAATAGTGAAAAACCTATCTTATAGCCTAACCCAAAAGTTAGACTTCTGAAGAAGAATTGTTTGTAGTACATGATACTAGACTGTTACCTTTTCTCTAATCATTCATCCAAAAATTGCTATGTAATCTATCACGATAACTTCAACTTGCACAAAATACAGGATCAGTAAATCTCCGCACTGTGATATGGAATAATTGACCTTTGCAATGAATCATATAACCTCTATCATAATCATTTCGATCTCACTTATGATAAAAAAGTCGTAAATGTGTGTGACAGTGAATATTGCAGTTAAGGTTTTGTCGACGCAACATCGAACAGATGGATAGCATAAGAAACGGTGCCCAACTCGCATATTCCGAATGCCAATATCAGTTTCATCAAAGGAGGTTTGTCAATCAATGCTAATATTACAATCATCAAACACTTCAGGACTTGTTTGAAACGTTGTATGGTATGGTAGAAATCAGAATAATCAATCAATAACTATTGAGTATTGGAAATGATCCTTGTTAATCTTTTTATTACTGAGGGATTATTATTCCAAATTATTTGGTAATTTTTTTATTGCCGAACGATTATTTTTAATTGAAGCTTTAGAAAAATCGTCGATCAAAAAAACGAAACCTAAATTAATTAGTAAAATTAGATTCAGGAATTAAATTCAAGTACTTTGACGCTCATCAGTTGAAATACATAATTTTAAAACTTTCGGTTTGTCAATTTATAATTTTGTTTCCGAAATTAGGTTCGATTTTCCAAATTTTAATTCATTCATGGAAATGTTTGGATGAAAAAAAATCTGGTTGATCTATTTCTTAGATGGAATTGCTCGCTAATCAATCCGATTACGAAGGAAGTTTTTGGTGATATGATCTTAAACCGTGGTACTCGGGAAGCTGCCTTTGTTCATGCTATTTCTTCCGCCGGAATAGCTTATCGAATCACAAGGTTTGTCATACAGGAAATATTCAAATGAGCTACTATTCCTTTACTTGAACACCGTGTCCAGAATGAATAATTTCTTGTTATTATATTACAGGGACTGTTCCAAGGGTCTCATCGATAAATGTGGCTGCGATTTGAGTGCTTTGAAAAGAACGGATCAGTTCAACTGGAATGGATGCTCGGATAATGTCCGATATGGTATTGCTGTATCAAGAGCTTTCGTTGATGCTGCTGAGAGGGGCAAAAATCAAACGCTTGAACGGAAAATCATGAATTTGCATAACAATAATGCTGGAAGACAGGCAAAGAAACTTTCAAAATATTTTCTTACTTTCATCAAAACATATATCAATGAATGATACTTAGGCTGATAAAGTGAAATGTATTGGTCATTTTGTCGCCTTTTACGGGCAGAGTCGAATGGTAGAGATACTCTTTTATACTCTCTTATTCGTTTTTCTATAACAGGTACTGGAGCTAAATACCCGGAAGCAATGTAAATGCCATGGCCTGAGCGGTTCCTGTGAAATGAAAACGTGCTGGAAATCAATGCCAACATTCAGGTAAATCTTTTAATAACCAAAAACAGAATGATGAGATGACTTCTAATTTTTATTATACTCAAAAGACATAATCAGTGATAATAATTGCGCTGGCAGGTACTTGCTAATATACCAGGAAGTTTTCAAGATGCAAAAATTGCTAAAGGTCCAAAGATCAACAAATCTTTCTCTCTCAAGATCTTGAGGACTTATAAAGATCAAGGAAAAATCGAAAAAAGCATAGGATTTTTGAATTAAAAAGAATTAAAAATGGAACTTGGTTTAGAATTAATATTAAGGAATCAAATTTGAATTTTAAGGTTTTTTAAAACTTTTTGCTAGTTGCTTATTGGTATTGCGTGCATTGTTGTAGGGAAGTTGGAAAGATAATCAAAGACAAGTTTGACGGTGCCACAGAAGTAGCAATCATCGAAGAAGACAATAAACCGATAATGGTCCGCAAAAATGTCAATTTCAGAAGACATACTAAAGCTGATCTCGTAAGTTACAGTTTTGTATCGTTTTTCTGAATTCAAATTGATCATTAAAATAGTTTCCAGTAAATTACGAGGATTATCATGAGAGCTTTGAACTCAGTAGCGAACAGAGAAATTTAATAAGCAGGTTCATTCATTAATTTCTTGAATTAATTACGCTTTCTGTAAGTTTTAAAAAAAAGCTATGATGTAATTTGTCTTTCAAATATCTGTAAAATAAAACAGTACATGAAGTGGCAACGCCATTGTTATTATTTATTTCTTATTCCTTATTCTTTATTCCTTATTCTTTTATTCTTTATTCTTTATTTTTTTAATTTTTATTCTTTATTCCTTATTCTTTACCTTTTATTTGTTCTTTATCCTTTATTCTTTATTCCTTACTCTTTATCCTTTGTTCTTTTTTATTCATTTATTCTCTATCCTATATTTCTCATTCTTATTCTTACTCCCATTATCTCTATTCTTACCCCTATTGTTATTCCTATTTTTATTCATATTCTTGTTTCCATTTCTATTTTTCTTATTCTTACTGCCATTATTACTGTTATTTATTATTATTCTTATTTATTATTATTATTATTATTATTACTATTACTATTTAATTATTATTTAATTATTAACTGTTAATCATTATTATTATTGTGAAGGTTTATCTGGAGTCGTCTCCGGATTACTGCGAACCGGATCCGGAATATGGTATTTTGGGAACGCATGGACGCCTTTGTAATGTCTCCTCGCATGGTATAGATGGATGTGACCTGGTAATTCTGAAATTTGTTTTAAATAGTTTTTGGTTATTGTGAAGTCTATTTTACTATACTTCTTAACTAACACATTTCTTAACTTACTTTTTACCTTACCCTTAAACAAACAAGTACCGTAGTTCGAGTTCGCGAAATTTTAAATTCCACACCACACTTTTCCGACCATAAATTTTTTCATTATTGTTTTTCCATACTAATTACTGTCGTCATAAATCCATTTTCATCGAAACTTCACTCCTTCAATTTTAGATGTGTTGTTATCGTGGATTCGATACACGGGTACGTAAAGTGATGGATCGGTGCAATTGTAAATTTCATTATTGCTGTCGAGTGATTTGTCAACCGTGTGAAAAAATCATTGAGGAGCATATTTGCAAATGATAAGCATCAAATGATTGTTTGCCTCTTATTTTAATAGTTCTTCATTGATAAGATACTATTTGTAGCTTTTGGCACCATTTCGATAATTTGTTTTGCTATGGAACATCAAGCCAAGTCTATCGTGCAAGATGAATTTGGTCTTTTAGAACATTTAAATATCCCATCGTATTTTGCGACAATTTTGACCAAGTTAGGTCAGATGAGTCATTTTCATCAGCTCATCCCCTTACTATTATTTTCTTCATTTGCGTCTGTTCCAAATTCCTGCTGTGATGAGCTTACTCTCTCATTCTTCTTGGGCTGCTCTTTTTCTTTCCTTTCTCTTCCCAAGTTTCCGGACTCGGAATTTTTTCAGTGTGGGAGAATATGCTCAAATCCGAAAGATTAAAACAAAATTATTAAAATATTTCGGATTTGGAAAAGCCTTTAGATCATTAGCACTGAAAAATGTAATTAATCAAATTTTTTAGGATTGCAGTGAATATCTTTGATAAATGATAATTATTAGACAATTGATATACAAAATCTAATACGAATAAGCTATCGTCCGTTAATGGTAAAAGGTGAAGTTAAATAAAAAGAGAAAGAGAAACCTTTTCGATCCATAAAACTAAAATAAGGTTTAATTCAACATTGCTATTTGTTTAGCAAGAAGTATCGGTTCTTTTTCATTGTGATACACTTCTAGAATAAACTGTTTCCTTTGTGATCAGAAATATTTGAATTTCTGAACAAGCCGTACATTTCCATCAATATCTTCCTTGCGGACGTTTCCGCGATTGATTGTACAATTTGCGCTGCTTGCTTATCCCTCGTTGGTCTCATTTTTGAAATTGATCATTTTTCTTTCATTACTATTCACTTTCAGAATTAACTCATACACAATTTATTACCGACATTTATTTTATCGTTTTTGCTCTTTGCATTCAATTATTCAAATGAAGATAAACAACGATGTATGCTTGAATTTGTTAATTTTTCAGGTTTTTTTCGCTCTGAAGATTTAGCATTTCAAATCGATTTAACTAATTAAAGATTTAGCTTAAGTCAATTCAACTAATTAAGGATTTAGCTCAAATCGATTTAACTAATTAAAGATTTAGCTTAAATCGATTTAACTAATTCTGAACTTCATGGAATTTTGTTTGAATAGACTAAGGACTGCGTAATACAGAAGTGTTTCGGGGAATTTAAAAGCAATTAAAGTTTTTCGAACACTGGAATTCTCAAGAATGAGGAAGACTTGCAAGCCAACTTCAAAAACATGCATGCCATATATCAGCAAACTGCAAGTATTTCGGGACGACCTTTTTCCCAAAATGAATTGTTGCTAATTTCTTTGAAATAGTGGTTTGCGAATATTTAATTAATTCATACACAATTTATTATCGACATTTATTTTATCTTTTTTGCTCTTTGCAGTTATTTATTGCAATGAAGATAAACAACGGTATATGCTTCAAGCGAATATCGCAACCCATTTTTACCAGTTGAAATTTCCCTATAACCATTTTTTGCAATCTTGAAATGTTGGGAAAGCAAGCATTCACATTGAATGTCAAAAAAAATGAGAAAAGTAATAGGCTTAGCATATTACACATCTTCCCAATGTTTTGGAAAACCGTTTGATTGCTGATACTGTCTCCCTATGAAAATGTTTTCAATTCTTCCGACAACAAAATTGTCAAAATAATGAAAGCAATTCGTTATATGCTCTGGACACTATAAAAGAAATATGTAAATGACCGATGAATACAATAATGATGAACGATGGATTATAGCATCACAAATATTGCTAATGAATTGGATGGTCATCATTTATTTAGACTTGTCATATTTTAGTTTGCTGAGAAAAATGCTACACTGAATATAGCCATGTCGCTACACTTGGGAAAATTCCGAAATGTTATATGAATATCTTGGTGTAAAAATAAAAGTTCCTGCTTGCCCAGAATGCCCCTGATCCTTAAGATTACATATCAGTTTGGTCCAGGTTTGGATCATAATCAATACCTGACCTCTTTCTGCACAATTGTAAATGTACAATTGAAAAGGTACGGCGCAACTTCCAGTTTCTGTCGATCTCCAAAAACCTTTCACTCTTTCCCCGCTATTGGCGGTGATGTAAAAACGTTCATTTACATACCGCTGATAAATGATTTCAAAAAGTAATATTTGCTAATTGTAATACATTTCAACGTTTGAATGTTACTGCAATCTGTGCATTTTTAATCAAATTTTAGTTCTAAGAAAAACTTACTGCCAGTTTTGAGAAAATCTGTTATGTAATATGCTATAAATAAACTCTTAATTTAAGTTTTCAATCGTAGCTTTGAATAAGAAAATGAGGTTAATTAACAAATTGAAATTATTATTAATTCAAAACAATCGTTCTTGCTAATGTTTTCATTCCCTGTTTGCGCATTTATTCCAAATGAAATATTTCATTTTCTTTTTGAAACAATATTTCATTTTGAAAAGTGCTTCGAAATTTTTGCAATTATGAAGTTATAGCGGTCAAAAACACGTTGATTCATCCATTTACTTTCGTGTGACGGCAATGCTGCCGTATGAATTATAAACTTATATTAATCAGAAAAGTGGTGAGTCATTCATTTTATTGCCTTGTGATGAAACCTACTTTTAAAATCAAAACAAAATTTAAAGTTTGATTTTTTTAGCGGCAGAGAATTATAAACCAATTAAATTGCTTGATAAGCATAAAAGCTTTCCGGCAGATTTGCGCTACAAAACATCGTACAAATAAACCACTTAACTTTTCTATCTAGTCTCAATCACCATTCATTTCTTTTATTTTTGCCAAGGTTGGTGACTTTACTCCTTCTTCCCATTCCTTCTACTTCATACCTTCTACATAAGGCTATGAAGGAAGGCATGAAACTGAAATTAAACGTGAATGAAAATACGTGAATTCTTCCATGAATTGCATTATTTTTAACCTTACGCGATGAACTGAAATTTTAAGAAGTACTTTAATTTATGCTCTAGACGATGGCCTTAAGCTATTTGTTCATACATGGACCTCGGTGAGTTTTGTCATCACCTAGGAAGTTTGTCAATCACTTTTATCAGTTCCATTTATAAATTCAATCAACAACATTATTATTCAATTCAATTTAAGATTTTCTCCCTTACTGCATATCTTGCATCAAAAAATTGATGATTGCAAATTGCGATGCGACACTTCCGCGATGTAATCAGTTTGAAGATAAATCATAAGCGCAAATGTGTAAGCAACATCGTTTTCAATTACTCAACTTAAATTTTATTACGGAATTCATAGAAAATTCTGAGAAGTATTCAAAAGGTCAATGATAAATTCCCACAAAATACTGTACTTTTCTTCCTGCTTGCGTCGAAATATTACTTCACATATTTCAAGTCGTTCGGTGTTGACCGATACAAAAACAATATCCCCACCGGTACTTCTTGCAAAGATTATTTCGTAAATGAAGTCCACAGTAATTATTTGAAGAAATTTAATTTAATATCCTTTATAATTAAGGTAATAGAGATTGCATGGATGCTTTATAAATTAGAAATGAGACTGGAAGTAAAAGTAATCACACTGATTGAAGCGGAATAAGTCGCTCGAAAGTTTCCGCATCAAATGGTAATATTCTTTTAAAACATTTTACACTAAGTTCTTTTTTTAGATTAAAGCGAAATGAAGAGAATTATAGGCATTGTTACTGTAAATATTTGTTTAAATAATTAATTATTCAATTCTAATAACTCTGCAACTGCTAATTTTCAGCTAAGTGATCCGATGTAGAATGACAAATTTTAAAAAAATGATTGTTTTAGTTTCTGAAAACTTTGAAATTTTGTAAATATTTCAAACATAGTTTGGTTTTATTCACAAAATACTCCGACAATTTACCATTGAGAAATACGACGAAAGAACATGGAACAATGTCATGTAAGTATTGTTAAAGTCCATTTTTATGTTTAGAATTTATTTATTTGAATGAATCTTTTTTTGATTAAAATTTAATAAATCATTATAGTTAGACTTCGGGAACGAAGATTTAGAAAAGCTCTATTCATAACTTGCTGCAAACACCACAAATGTAAATGTATCATTCCAGCCAAAGTAGCAGGTTTTTTAGAGGAGACATAGCTTCCTAAGGTCTGTCTATTAAGCCTAGCAAGCTTGAGCGATAACAGAGTGAAGTTCTCATGACGTGGGTTTTGTTTAAGTCTTCTTTTGGACGGATCCTTTAAATGTCATACGGTATTTTGCTAATCTCCAAAATACAGTGTTTGAAGAATTTTGAATTCCAACGAAAAATTATTTTGGAAGTCTCACCCTTATGGGTGAGACTTCTTCGAAAAAATTAAACAAATTTCTTATCTTTTTCTTGAATAATTTATGTGAAATTAAAGAAAGTGAGGTTAATTAACAAATTGAAATTATTATTAATTCAAAGTAATCGTTCTTACTGATATTTTCACTCGCTGTTTGCGCATTTTTCCAGTAAAGATATTTCATTTTTAAAAATGCTTCGAAATTTTTGCAACTATGAAGTTATATCAGTCAGAAACACGACGATTCATTCATTTGCAATGTTGTCGCATGAATTATAAACTTATATTAATCAGAAAAGGGATGAGTCATTCATTTTATCGTCTTTTGATGTAACCTACTTTTGAAATCAAAACAGAATTTAAAGTTTGATTTTTTTTAACGGTAGAGAATTATAAACCAACTGAAAATCGACGATAACAAAAATATTGTTGAAACTCATTTTTGCAGTGATAGAGCTGGTTTCTTAAAAGATGATGAAATTATCGAACATTTTCGCTACCCTGATGAATATACTTTTAAATTAGTTGCTGGAATTGTTGCATTTACCGGTAAGAGGGAAGCTTTTTTGCATTTTGAAATAAACCTTGTCGCTTTTTTCTGTGTCTTTCCAAGATTCTTGTCACAAAGGAAGAATGAAAGCAGTAAAGTCTTGTCCCATTTTTTTTTAAATTTTAGGCTTCGAATATTTCACCTTAATTTTGAATAAACATAAAGAGTTAAATCAAAGAAATCAACAGGCTGCTGAAAGTTCAACTGAACAATTTTGGCAAAATTAAACGAACTTATCAAATTATTTCAAACTATAAGAATCAAATGATATTTTTACCATTTTAAAATATCATTATTTTCGCCTTCTAAGGTCTTACGCGTGACCAGTTTTGGGAAAATTTTGGCGATTTTTATGTTGACTATCTTTGTGATAACAGCTGGGAAGAGCTGCTGCGATCAATGAGTCCTGATTTTGTGGTATGAGTTATTTATTCCCTAAAAAGACTGTTCACTCCCTAAAAGGATTACTTACGTCTTAAAAGAATAACTTCCTCCCTAAACAAGTTGATAGCATAACTTTCACATAAAAAATTCTAACTAGGAACTTTTTTTCGAGGCTTCCAATCAAAATTATTTGAGACCTTACTAGATGCCAAGTATAGCCATTTTTGGCTTTCTATATGATGTGAATTTTGTTCCTTTCAGGCCTGTAGCCTTCTTTTTTTTTATGAAGACTACTCTGTTATGATTGGTTAATTCATACCTTTTCGGAAACCAATACCAGAGTGTTAATGCGCCAACTACCAATGGGGGTGAAAAAGCAATCATTTTGAATTGTCGCTTGATATCATCTTGCTTTAACCTCATTCCAACCTCTTTTAATTACAAGCAGTCATTTTTTTACTCAAACTGGTGGACTATTAAAGTCAAAAGTCAAGGTATAACTATCGAACTCAAAGTCAAAGGTCAAAGTACAAAAGTCAAAATGTATTTTTGTCAAAGTATAACTAAATAAGTTACAGAATTTCTTCAATGGATTGGATTCATTGTATCATTTCATAAGTTTTGCCATTTACAAAGATACCAGAAAAGGACCGTTATTTCGATGTGAAAAATATGACGACGGGGATTCAGTTTTGCTTCATTATTATACCAGTCAGCATGGAATACATCCTATTGTCAAAGGTTAGCATTATACCAGTCAGCATGGAATACATCCTATTGTCAAAGGTTAGCCTTAAAGCATTTAGCTAATTAAGCCAAGGTGTAACTACGATTTCAGTGACCCTAAATTTTAATATTTATGGCCGCGGCTATTTTAATTATACGTGAAAAAAATACGTTTATTACCTAGTTCGAGTTATTCCCAGAATACTATTGTATCTCGAAGCGCTTATCAACTGCTTTTCTTTTTCACTGTGATAATCGTATTGATCTATTGGAGGAGAGAAAGGCCTTCCATTTGCTAAATATAGCTTTACAAACGTTCTGTGAGTTAGTGATAATGCCATCGTAAAATTATCTGTTGAAGATCGTGAATAACTTTTAATTTTTGATCATCAGGGAAAGTAAGTTCAAAGATCTTAAAATTTAAAATTTTTGAATTTACTTTTCTACTCACGTTTGAACTTTAAACTCACTCTTTGAGAAATGTATTACATTATAGGTGTAGCACGCAAAGTGGCAAAAAAATTCTTCGGTATGGAAGTAAAAATTACGCTAATTGATCTAAGCAAATGCGATTTGCAATATGCAAGTAACGCGCAGCAACAAGAACACGCTGTTTATAAAGTTGAAGTTTGTTTGCCATATTCTCATTCAATTTCACATTAATTATAGATTTCAGCTTTTATCTTGCGACTTTAAAAAAAGCAGCGAATGTAGTAGTGTTGGTCAGTGAGTGACCGAACCTATCATCTAATTACTGATATCTCTTAGCTCTTTCCATAATCTGCCAATCTTTAAACTTTCCTATTTTTTTTGTTTTTTCCTTGTCTGCAAGTCTCCGTCTTGTTAAAATATATTTAAATTAATCAACTATGCTTTTTTCTTCTTCACACTTTCGACATATTCTCATATGTAATCCGGGAAAATCAAATAGAAATTTCAGGACATAACGCATTGTGGCTTATTATGTCGTAAATCTGTAGAAGTTATGGGCAAAACTGATGGCATACTACAAGTAAACAAAGCGGATTTCATTTCCTTACAACCGTATCATTTCATAGCCGATAACAATTGTAATTTAATACAATGCGGGAAAGGCTTTTAGTAAGTATTTAGTTTGATAAGCACATGGCTGATTTTTCTTCCTTTTGGCTTTTATTTCATTTAAGCCAACACATTTCAATGGAATCATTAACGCCTGGGACACCGTTGGAATGCATATTTGATATCATCTGGCCACAGATATCATTCAATTTCAATGCAATATACAATCTTATCAATGCAATATTCATTCTCCAATTAAGAAGAGGGATAAACAATGAGGAGCCTAACAGTGTTCGGTAACTGTTTGTTGTCAAAATTGCAAAGACAATAATGTCACATTTAAACATTGTTAGTGAATCACAGGAAACTTTATTCATCAACAAATTTGATGTTGGCATCAGTGTAGTTCTTCATTAATTCAGTATGGAAGTGTTCATTGGTAGTACATTGAAGTGTAATATTTCAAAACGTTATAATTAGCCATCTTTCAATTTTGATTCATTAATTTTTTAGAACTACCACATATCAGAAGAAAAAGTTAAAGCTGAAAGGACAAATGATGATTTTGGAACAGAGAAATTGGTTACTGTACATTGGTTCACCAGATATAAGTACTATTTCTGAGCTATTTGAATACGGAATGCGTCTGGAAGCAATGCCGTTACATGATTTCACTCGAGATGTCATACTTCTTAATCAGCAACGCCTTTCCAATATTGAGCAGAAGTAAATAACTTTTGCATTCAGTAAGATAAGATTTTCCGACAAATAAAATATAACTTTTAATAGTATCGGGACGACAATTCTGCTTACAACTTCCTTGCATTGCAGCATGCAGCTGCAAGCAAATAATACTCAAATGGAGGAGCAAGCACGGAATATGAAATGTGAACGAGTTAAAACGGAAACATTACTGTATCAATTACTACCGACATTTGTTGTTACGCAACTTCTTAACGACAAAACGGTGAATGCTTGTGAGTTTCTTTACCTCTAATCTTGCTTGTGAATTTGTTAACTTTAAATTTGAACTTAAACTTCATTTGTTATACTCTACCGAACTTTCAATAAACCTATAAAATTACCAATTCCTGATGCTATTCTGGTGATGCAATCTCTTCACGTTAATTTCTCATCCTTATCCTTTTTCTAGAGAAATAATTAATGTTGTGGATTATCAGTGATTAGTCAACAGGTAATCACAAGCCATCATTAGCTAGCATTCACGAAAGAGTAAATTTAAATATTACAAATCAATGATTACCATAAGGTTGTTAAATTCAGATGAATATCAAGAAGTAACAGTAATGTTCGGTGATATACCAAATTTTCACAGTATTGTTATGGGTTGCAGACCACAACAAATCATGAAATTACTGAATGAATTGTTTACAAAGTTTGATCGTTTGGTTGACAAACATTCCGTAAGATTTCCGGATTTCTTACTTTGGCACAGTATTGTTATTTCATGCAGTCAGAGTAAAACTGAAATTGAACACCTGACTTTTAAAGGTATTTAAAGTAGAAACAATTGATGACACATATGTGGCAGTGGGTGGGATACCGGAAGAGACTGATAATCACTGTGAAATATTATGTCATGTGGCGCTTGGCATGATTTTTGAAACACGATCCATTATTAATCCGATTACTGAAAGACCGCTCCAAATACGTCTTGGCATCAATTCTGGACCAGTTGTGGCTGGAGTGATTGGCAAGAAAATGCCCAGGTATACCAGTTATTGAAAATTTTCCCGAAAAAGTAGCAAGTTTGCAAAAAAAAGTGATTGTAAAAATTCAGCAACTAAAAACTTCCAGTTATTCGCCATTGGAATTTTGTCCTGTAAATACCAAACAATTCTTCAAACTTTTGTTGGATTAGATTAGTAGTAGCAATATATTTTCAACAGAAAGTTTAATTAATGTATAGAAAGTTACGTTTTGGAAAAATATCTTCAAAAATTCAATTTTTAGATTCTGTCTTTTCGGTGATACGATGAATACGGCATCACGTATGGGTAGTCATGGTGTACCCGGAAAGATCCATTGCAGCAAAACTTCTTTCGAGTTTGCCTTTTTCATTGGCCATACTTGTAAAATCTCTAACCAAACTGCTAATGTGTAGTCATTGAAGATAGTGGCCTGTTAACTTGAAAGTAAATAATACCTCAGAAAATTAAGTAATTTCCAATACTTCTCGTTAGGATATTAAGAGAGTTAGGATATTAAAAAAGTGAATGGCTGAATTTAACGGAATTTTTAGATGCGCTCAAAGAACGGGCAAATTTATTTTTGAATATCGCGGTATGACAAAGATTAAAAATAAGGGCGTAATGGAAACATACTTTTTAAAAGCGAGTATCAAAAAATCCATCTGGGAAATCATTGGAATTGAAAGAAGTATTCTTTAAGCTTTTTTATTTGTTCTGTTAATTGCTTTTACCGGCTCCAAATTTCTGCTTCTTTCACATCATCCTTTTAATATCATATCTCCAATCATCAAGTCGAGCAAGTTCAATTAACATAAATTTTGGGGACATCGAAAAATTTTCAGATATCAATGAACATTCCATTGATGGTTATGCTGAGCTGGAAGAAGGTTTGGAACAGAATGAAGTAAAGAATTGTCAAATCTGTACAATTCTCTAACTTTTTAAACAGAAAGTTGGATTTTTTTGAATTTGATATGAATGAACGGACGGATAAATATTGCATCAATTCAATGATGTTTCAGATCGTTCAAAAACTGAAATAAAACGGGAAGTATGAAGTATGATTTAAATAAAGATACTAAAACTTTAGCACAAGAAAAAAAGAATAAGAAATAGCATTAAAATGGTTTGATATGGTGAGATGAACTGGACATAAAGAGTTTTTGCATGGCCCATTAGATATTTCAATTTGCTGGAATTTCATAAGCCAAATATTTGATCGTAGATCTTGATTTGATACCACGGTGAAGATATATTAGGAACTACTGGCCTTATCACGGAGACGCCAGTGATTTATTACACAAGCTGTAAAATTAAAAAAAAAAAAGCCCCAATTATTAAAATTACAATTACTATCATTGTTGTTTGCTGTAGTGGTCTCAGGTTCAAATTTCTCACGAAAATTGTTATGCTTATAATGAATGCTTTGTTCCACGGATGAAACTACGATTTTAGTATTTTTATCAACAGGGGAACAAAAAAATTATTTTAGTTTAAAAAACTGGTGAATATCTACATACAAATGATCAAAGCAAAAGACTTCAAACAACGATGTGTTAGTAGAAAGAAAGGATGGCAGCGAATAACCAAATGAGGAAATTAGTTTAATTATGAAGAGTGAATTCGAGATTGAACAGTCTCAGCAAGTCTTCCAAAAATTGTTCAGTTGAACTTTCAGAGCCGTTGATATTGATATCAAAAGCAACAAATCCAAAACTACTCGGAAAATACTTTTGAATGACAGAAGTCAGCGAATAAAATATTATGCAAAGGCAATCAGGATGTAAGCAATCTTTAAAAAGTTTTTGCAATGTACAGTAACTGAACCTTCACGTATGGGTCACGTACGTAAGCGTTGGAACAATTTTATGAAAAGTTATCGGAAGAGACGTTCGTTTTAGGGGAAGGTTTGCTACAATCACAAACGATAATTAGAAAATGTAAAAATGAGCCAGCAAAACACCCAATACAAAACTAATGTAAAGGATACAAATGCACTTCGTCAAAGAAATTTATTTTTAAATTGAAATCTTGAAGAAGTTATTCAATGAAGAGTGAAAGTCTTAAAGGTTTAAAAAGTTTGTTTAAATCGCAAACAGACATGACTATTATGCTATATACATATTGACAGAATATAAAAAGTTGTCGCGAAGTGCATGTCGATGGATTGCTTTCATCATTTTCACATTTATATGCTGTTTGTATAAGAAGACCTCCAGGGTGAAATGAAAATTAGTATTTGAGAAAAGCAAGCAATTCTTTGAGTACCCTGTGTCGAAATTCTTAACTTCAGTATAAGCAAAGAACAATGAGAAACAAGCACGAGAGTTTTTTTTTCTTAAGAGTACTAATCAGAAAAGCTATAAATTATCAACAAAGAATTCAAAGGGTTGACTCATCGCAATTCGAAAACTTTGCCGACTGGATGCCAAATCCTGTGGCATCTCTTCCAAGCGATTTGTTGCTACCATTCCAAAAGTTGGACCTGCAGCCAAGGATACCGATGTTCCTTTTTGGATATTGGATGAAAATGCGGTTGAATGAACACCCGATGATATGGGTGCCTGTGGTAAAATCGTATGTCTGAAAAAACTCATTTCTTTTAAATGTTAATTTCAACTCCGCAGATTAAAAGAATTTTTTTCCTGATCTTCTTTGTAATGCAGAGATAGACGATATTTTATTTCATCAAGCTGAAAGCGAGAGAAAGAACAAAAATGTACCCTCACCTCTGTTCGCTTCCACTTGAACCATCGTTGCTACTTGTTTGACTGTGAACATCTGGACCACCACCGATAGTTTCAGCACCTTTGTATGGTGGAACGACATTGGTCGCAACATATGGCTGCTGATTCGGATACAGTGTTAACGGCATAGATGCATAACCACTTACCTAGGTTTTTCAGATTTTAAGTATGTCGCATTATTCTGAACAACATTAAATAGTAGTGAAATTGCTGCGTAAAATCACATAGCATCGCTTTCCGAATTTATGATTCCATAAAAATCATTTGTAATTTTCATTACAATTACTTTGCGAGAATTTCCAAATATTGCCAAGTATTCCGATCACAATTGAGAAAACCTGATATCAGCTGCATTCGCACTTTTTCGAACTAGAGTTATTTAGCAAATCATCATAACTCATGCAAAACTTTCACTGACGTTAACTGCAGCATGCAAACTTGTGCAAATAATGAAATTTTTGAAAGTAAAGGCACAAAGCTTGATAAGGTTGTATTTGTCAAGAATCTGGGTGGAAGGGTTCAAGCTAGGTCCAAGTTAGCAAATTTATATGGGTTTATCGGTTGGCATGACTAAAATGGTCCCAAAATCCATTATTCCAGTGTTCTACTTTTCAACACCACATTTCATCAAATGCTCTCGGATGTTAAAGAAGAACCGCCGGGACTGTTCGGAGTTTATCAATCGCTATTCCCTTCAGCAATATGATAAGATCAAATTTCACTCCTCACGTGTGAAAGTTTGTGCTCTTCTTTAATGAGGCAAAGCATGTGGCAGAATCTATCTTGGCATACATTTATACTGCTAACAAAGTTACTACCAGCTGATAATAATAACATGCCATAAAGATGTGTAAACATATATCTCATCAAAGAACAGACATATCGCAATTTCAGAAAGCAAAAAAGTAACGAATGGATTGAAAACAAAAAGAACAACTTCCACAACGTATAATTTTCAAATCAGTGCGTGGAGTAAGCGGTACGCAAAATTAAATATCCCTTTCTCTCCTAAGGTGACCTTTTCCTTTTAAGAGAACTCTCAAGTTGAAAAGTCATCTAAGATAAAATTTCTTCCCAAGAATAATGTTTCCTTTCCGGATTTTGCAATGCCAGGCAGTTCCTCTTTACCTATAATATGAATTTTCAAAAGTTGGAACAATTAATAAGCAGAGCTTAATTCTGCCATTATTCTATCATAATATATGGTTATAATTCTGATGTTGGACATATATCCTTCTAGACTTCGAAACAATTTTAAAACATTATGAAGCCCAAAGACATCTGTCATCCTGTTTCTTAATATTTTTTTTTAATTTTTCAAATCTTTATAAAATTTAACACTACCAACAACTTTGTCAACGAATGAATTAGATGATATTAAGAGTGGGAATCGGAAACTTCTTCCACAACACCCATTTATGGCTATGTTCAATATACAACCGTGCCACTATCTACAGACATGCTGCATTAAATTGCTAACAATCCCACCGGATAAAATTGGAAAATGCGCATTACCAACAAATCTACTTTAACTTAACATGCTCTTCGAGAATCATACAAAAGAAATATGTGCAGTAGTTGTTGGAAACATGCGATTGTTGTTTTTGTTATATTATGAATGAAGTGAAAAGAACGATCATCTCATCGTATAATGCATAGAAAAATACGATAAAATCTTGTTAGTTAATGAGAATTCTCCAGCATCTAGCATTAGAATTCATGCAAAAATTTTGGCTGGTGCAATTATTATCCACTCTCAAATGTAATGATCTAAAATGTAACTTCGAAGTGAGATAAGACACAAAACACATGAAGGATAATCTGCGAAAGAGTAAGCCAAAAAAACAAAATCCTTGAAATCAAAAACACTACATAATTTACCCGTCTAAATGGAAAACCTCACTCATCTCAAGCAGGACTTTGTTTTATGGTCCAAAATGTATTATTTGTCTACCGAATGCAGTATTCTAAATCCAACTTATTCTCAGTTAAACTTTATCATGAGAATTAGCAATTTAATTAACAATAAAAATCTTCGAATACGGTCATGGAAGCAGTAAAAATCTATCTAAAAAATGAATCATGTATATTTTTATTATATGTCGTATTTTACAATCATTACGAAATATATTGCAATGACCTGAACGTATTTTTCCACGAGTGTTTTGATAAGTCCTTGATTTAATTTATGTATTGCAGAAGAAAATTTGGATTTCAATGAAAATTAAGCTATTTCGCTGCAATTCTTTGATGCATTAGCAAAAATATTACGAACTGTATAACTAGCAATAAAAGCGAAAAAAAAAAGAAAACAGAAAACAAAAAACACGGACGGTGGAGTTAATTAAACAAAAAAGCTACACAGACTAATCGACTAATCATATATATATGTCTGATGCAAGTGTGAGTTTTTGTTGATCATGTCAAATTCAAAAATTTTTTGATCCCAATGCATTCTCATTGTTGAAAATAATCAATCGCATATAGAAGTAGGCTGCTTAATGCATAATAATATTGTAAAAGAAATTCATTACCAGGTTTCATCATTTCTTTAGAAGAGGAAAGTGAAATCACAGATCTCATAGGAGCTAACATCTCTACACTAGTTGAGTCTGCCCAATGTGATGACGGGATTATCGTATTGAAAACTTATTGCAAATAACAAGATAGAATTAAGGACTAAGTGCAATTTGATACATTTCCTCTATTTGGTACTTTGAATTTCTGCAATCGCGAAAATCGCTGATGCAAGAACAGAACCATTTCAGAGTAGCATAAATATGTAGCTAGAAGCAAAATTTAAAAAAATATACAAATTAAAAAGGAACGCTTAAAAAAATGAAAACACATATTACGACCGCAAGACCTATTCTAAAGATTAGTTAAATAGAATCGCGTGGTACCATCAACATTCGCTGCATTTTCAACACCGCTTACCATTGAAGGTGCACTTTGCGGTATCATCGTTGGTTGAGGCCAAGCACGTCCACTTTGCTGCGCTGCAGCAGCAACAAGCCCTGGTGGTGGCGCTGGCAACACCGAACCCACTTCACTTCGAACACCTGGATCATCACCTCCAGGATTTTGCCGCAAGCGTGCATAATCTTAAATTAGCTAATTTACTTCATTTCATTTAAACAAAATACAATTATCCCCGCATAATAGAAGTAACTGAAAATGTCAGAATCTATGCTTTGTACCTAACCAAACAAAATTCCAAATTTTTACCAATTCCAACAGTTCGTAAAACTTCTCAGTTCAAAATAACTTTGATAGATGAGCAAAAACTCAAGCTATTTTCATTTCAGTCAAGCAAAATAAAATTTATTGTTTTTTAAAAACAAACCAGCACATTCTTCACCCAGAATATAGTAACACTGTTCAGTGAAGGTAATTTTGTTGACCACATGACTGATTAACTTCTCCTTCAACAACTCGCCAGCAAACTTGCGTCCATCCTTTCGATCACGGAGACCATCAACATGTTCCATCAGCCAATCAACCAAGTCACTGCCTAAAAATGACAAGAGATTACAAGAGATTTTGAAAACCCCAAAATTTTCAAGAAGGAAACATTTCAAGTACTAATCTCATTTCTATTTCGATGCATTACATTTTCCGCATCCGAAGAAAAACTAACAAAAGAAAAGAAATGAAACTCTACTAAACAAGTAAGTATTGACAGCCAAAATTCAAACATATGTATTCATAAAAGCAAACACGAGAAGATAGTAGACTTTCAGTCAATCTCATTATTTCTTAGTTAAGTGTTCAGCGGTGCTGCCAGATTAAATAAGTTAATGAAGTGGCAAGTCTCTACTGATAAAAAAGTAAACAAATCTTACCAAGAAAAGACATCGGAATCGGAATCTTCAGCCAAGTGCGATTTTTGATATCTAACCCAGAATTTGGCATAACCATCATTTGAACAACTTTCTTTTTGTCCGTCATAGCATCTAACCGGAAATGGGCTGAAACACAAATAAAAGTGAAAGTGAAAGCAAATTAAAAGGAAAAAAAATTGAATTTAAAACGTCAAACAAACCCAAAACTTTTGAAGTTCTCATAAAATCATAAATTACTGTCCTGAAAACATTTAAAAAACTGAAAATACTAAAAAAAATGGAATTTGAAGGCCGTTACCTCCACCAACAATGGTGTTTGGAACAGAACCATTTGATGTTGCAGTGCTGCTACTTGCAGGTCGACCGTATTGACCAGGTATTGGAGTTGGAGTACCTTCAGAGCCTAAAAACTTTTTGGACTTGCTAAACATCAGGAAAACTTCAGGTACGTCTTGAAAAATGTCAAAACCCGATCCATTAAAATAGTTCAGAAACAAAAATTCTGCATAATATTGAATATAAAAAAAAACCTTCGAGGATGGATGGCATTCCACGCATAGCGTTAGTATGCTGTATCCAAGCCTGAGTATCAATAGGTCGTACCGGTTCATCCCGATGTCGCGGGACAGTGAATGCACTTCTTGGTCCACTATCCCACATCTTAGCCACTGTTAACTTGATTGGTCTGAAAAAAAGATCTGATACTTTTGAAAAGTAAAAATTATTTCATCAAGCACAAGTTAAATTCAAAAAAATGCGTTCGAAAAAAAGAAACGCTTGGATCAACTTCAAGGTCATTTTCAAAATTCAATATCGTTTTTATCGCGTACCACTATTTCAAGACTTGTGAAATTACCCTCTCCGTGCAACTGATTCACGCAAAACGTCTACTGCCTGATCGTTCGTAAAGTTTTCGAACGAAATATCGTTCACTTGTAAAATCATATCACCCGGTTCAATTCGTCCATCTAATGCTACAGCACCTCCTAAAATAATACGTACTACAGATGAAATGCAATCTCGCTCCAAATGAAAATGACTCAAAATCAAAAACAGAATCACACTTCATTCTGAATAAGTTAGATAATGACATTAATCAATTACCTTTCATAATATTAGCCACATAGATGCCATTATCACCACGAGATGAGCTCTGTCCAACAATGCTGATACCCAAGAAGTTCACCGTATCCATATTTAGTGTTACTGTGATTACATCCAATGACATTGAGCTTTCTGTTATGCTACTAAAGGACGAAGCTCTTGAAGGCTGTCGAAATCGCCGACGATTTCGGCGTTTACGATATGCAGGAGCATGATGCTGCCGAGAAACGCTGGTGATGTCAGTAGATGTTGAAACTCTGAATTTTCTTTTTTCTTTGAAATTTGAATAATTTCATTTTCCTTAAATACCCAAACAAGTCAGAGAAATGGTTAATTTCAACTGTTTGATGTTCTAAAGAAACAAATTGTAAACCAATGAAATGAGTTGATTTGCAGTTGTATGCAGTTTGCTAAAATTCATAAATTACGAGGTGATTCTCTATGTAGTTTTAAAAATCGATAGAAAACCTCGAACGGTCGTCATCATCCGAGAATAACCGCGCGTCACTTTCAGAGCCCAGTGTTGAATCTTCAAAACGTCGACCTCCACGATGTCCTGAAATTATAAGTGCAGCTCAGGGAAGCCCTGTCGATATCATTTATCATTTTGGGGTGTTCAGCTAAAGCACACTAAATTTAAATTATAAATTCTCTAACCAAAAAAAGTGGATGAAGAAAAAAACAGTATTTTATCTCGTGCTTACAGAGATGACTATTCTCTAAAAATACCTCAGGATGATAATCTATGAAGTAACAAGAAACATATAAGTGCATACCTTGCGGAATGTACTGCTGCGGAAATGGTCGCCTTGCCATTCCCTTTACTTGCATTGGCAGGGCTCTCATATCACTGATGAAAGAATCCGAATCTGTAGATGCTACTAAAACAAGTTTTTTTACGATAAACAATTATTACTTGGAATGCAATTCTAAAAATAATTTAAAAAAAAGAACTACCACATATGATTTAAGAAAAAAATTACTGCTCTGATCGAATTGCCGCACGGCTTGTCGATAAGCCATACTTCCAATAGGATACATAGTTGGTGCTGGGCCCGGGACCGGAAATGAAACAATGTACAGATGACAATTCATAATTCTTATTTATTTGCTTATTTTTGAGACTATTGAAAATTTGTGCTTTCCCAACCTTAAGCAGTTCCGTTCCTGAATCAAAAATGAATCATGTAGAACGTCGCACTCCATATACTTCTCAGCTATTTACAAGATTCAAATTGATAAGGAAGCGAAATTATCGAAATAATTACATTACGAAAACGAAAAAGCAAAGAACTTCTCAGTGAATTCAACTTACCATGAGCCGTGCACTTTTCAATGGAAGACCCGACGAACCATCGGAATGACTGCTACCTTCTGATGTAAGCAAAAAGAGCTCAAACTGACCATTTGCCGACCGATGTAAACATTCACTGTCATCACGTATCTCCACTTTCACTTCACTACAAAGCCTTTTTGATATCCTACATTATAAATACTTGACATCATTTCTTACGATGACTTCAAACTCTGGAGGTAAAGCTTTAAATCCTACCTAAATAGCAACCAGTACTACAAATTACTTTCAAATAAAGTGTGAAAAATGTTCGGACTTACGGAAAGACTCCGGAATCGGGAGCAGGGGCTTTGCAATAGTATTTGAAATTTGATCGTGTTAAGACACGTTTGAAGTCACCAAGTGTTATTTTATCGGGTGGTACCATGACATCAGTACAATATGGCACCATTTCGTCGTCGATATGATAATATACCTGAAAATAGTCGTTAATGCAATAACTTATTCACCCAAATGTTTTTACCTATCCTTAGTAGTCCAGTCACCTTTTCATAAAATAGTGAGAGGAAGCTGGCAGTCAAATATTTCTTTCATTAATTAACACAGTATTTTATTCACTGCACTTCTTACATTGTAATGTCAGAACATTTATGGAATTCGAAAAGGAATTCTACTAACATTCATCCGAAGATTTCTACGGAATTAAACCTGAAAAGTTACCATGGTAAGAGACGTAATGGCAGGGAAGTGTAGAAATGAAACAAAATATATTTCTAGAAGCATAAGAGATGAAACGGAATTGTCACAAATTAGACGAATTACAAACCAGACCAAAACGCCGATAGCATAACCAAAACACAAGATGCACAATGGACTAAAATTGCAACCTCTCCTGAGTCCAATTGGATCCATACGAGAGATCACCAGTGTGACGCAGGATGGAACGACGAAATAACCCTGCTTACCCTAATTAATTTTGAAAAATTAAATTGAGCCATACTTTTGTACTTGTTTGTTGTGAAGCAGCTCCCGTTCCATGTTCCAAATATGGAATACCTTTAGTAGCTGGTGCCTTTGATGCAGATGGACCGTCTTTATTGCTTTCATCCTTACTTTCTACAGTTGAACTAATTTTCAATCTGAAAACATTTCGCATTAGAAACGAAATTATTGATGCTTGAGAAAGGGAGAAATTCTTCATATGTTAAGCAACTGTTAAAGATCTAAAGTCCTAATTTCTTGGAATGTAGTTCCTAGAGTTTATGCATTCATGTCTCAGATAAATCAATATCTTCTGTCAACTACTTGTAAAACACCATAATATCCAACACTGATATTTCTATCGAAATAATCAATGAAAAGGAATTCTACAATTATTCAGAACTGAAAACATCACTTATTTGTTTTCTCGATGATCGTATTCGTTGTATTCGACGTATCAAGTGAACCTGAAGCATCCATTCTCAGGCAGTACAAACTGCCGTTGAAGTGGGAAGTTCTCCTGAATGAAAAACATTTAATTTTGCAAATATTCGTAGAGAAATCTGATGTCTTTAGAGCACACAAATTAACTGATACAGAAGCATGGATAATCTATGCGCTCTTTATGATTGACAGGTTTTCTAATTAACTACAATGTTTGTAAGACAGATCACCAGCTGTACGTTTAATCCAGCACAGTATAAAGGTTTCACTCATAGAAGTAAATCCGTCATTCAATGAAGTGATCGGTCCAGTAATTCAATCAAGTTTATCCGGCCATTCAGCATAGTACATCGGTAAGGTATAATCGACCGAACACTAAGCTACGACTTCCTCGGCTGCTAGCGATATTAAGCATTTTCAAACACAGTCAATAATATATGCTTAATCAGTAACACATTAGATGCCAGATATTTGATTGGTTTGTCAATGCTATTCTTTACATCGTTTATATCTTATCATGAGCCAATGGACCGGGAAAAGCAGTAATTCCGGAAAATAGGCGGAGAAAGAACGATCTGGAACCATTTCTAGCGAGGGATTGATTTTTGGCTACTCGTAGTACAACCTGCTCGACAAGGATTATGTAAGTCGGATGGAGGATAGATAGCCTGATAAGCATAACTTCGAAGGAGGCGATTAGAAGATGTTAGTATTGACTGTATAATTTAAAAAGAAGCAGGAAATGATAATGAGTGATAGAGTGGAACTGGATAAAGGTAAGAAAGGGAAAGAGATCAATAAGATTTATAAGAGAGCATTAAGAAAAGATGATTAGTGACAGAAATGTCTTACTATCATTTTAGGATGCCTGTACTGCCATTCTTTCCGGAAGAGTACGAAGGTTTGGTATAGAAGCTGAGCGGGAGTTTGGTATGTACTGATGAGATACTCTTTTTTGGTTCAAACATTGATAGTGAAGAATTCATCTGTGCTTATTTTATACCTTCGTCGACTGGTTTCTGCGAATGATTCAAACTTCCAGAAAATTGATATTTCCTATTTGACACCACCTTCTTCTTGTTTCTTCTTTTCCAGACGATGCCACCTTCACGGAAGAAATCACACCAATTGGCTTGTATTGTTGTAGAGAAGACGGTTATCACAGATACTCTCAAACATAGATTCGTCATTGAAAAAGAATTTGCACGCGGTGGTTTTGGACGAATTTACTCCGGAAGACAAGTAATTTTCAGATTTGAAAGAAGTTTTGGATATGGGTTAGAATGAGCATTTATTAATATGCACGTATATATATGTATATATATATAATTACTCAAAGCAAATATTTGTAAAATTATTGTTGTATCTTTTATACCACCGCATCAAGTGATCGGTCCGCTACTAACTTGAGATGTACTTTATGGTTGTAGTTTCTATTTGTAGTTGTGTTTCTCTTTTTTAATCTGAATGTTTTGTCTTCCAAATATAATTCTCTTCAATTGCTGATATTTGTGCTATACATATCATGCGGTATTTTGAATGAATTGGATTTCAGGAAGATAGTAAAAAATTTGGTAAAGCTGGTTCTCTCGCAATCAAAATTGAACCGCATGCAAATGGCCCACTTTTCACTGAAATAACAGTCTTTCAGCGGATCTTAACACCTCAGAAGCTTGAGATTTGGATGGATAAAAAGAGTTTGTTCGATTAATTTTTCTACCTTTTTTTCATCTTTAATTCTAAAAAAGTCACATATATTCATTTTTGATTATGCTTCACTATTAGTAATTTTTTGCAGGAGTCAGCCATATCGGCTTACCTCCGTACGTGAGTAGCGGTTTATTTACATATAATGGCGAGAAGTTACGATTTCTGATTATGCCACGTTATGAAAAGTCTCTAGAAACGTATCGTGTAGCAAATGGTGGTATTTTGGACATGCATTTGGTCTTGACTGTTGCGAAGCAGTGCGTCGATTGTTTATCATACATGCAAGACTACGTTGGTGTTCCGTGTTCACAATCGCAAATGCATTGATTCCAGTAGATTATGATATAATAATTCCCTTTCATAAGTCTCCTGAATTAAGAATTTTGCTAGCTTAATATAGAAATCACAGTCGTCAAGATTTTGGTCTTATGGCTTTCTGTCAAATTGATAGTTATTCAGGACTATGTACATGCTGATCTAAAAGCAGACAACATTCTGTTGGCATCAGCAAACGAATATTCCAGATGTTTTTTGGTCGATTTTGGACTTGCAAGGTTGGCCAAGGGCAATGTCGACAAACCGGATAAAAAAGAGGTACGGTCCATGAATTTAATCTGAAATTATGGCTCTGAAATGGCACAATTGTTCAATTTCATTATGCTTTATTCTAACAGCTTACTATATATTTTACAGCCCATAACGGAACTTTGTTGTTCACTTCACTGGATGCTCATCGTGGCTGTGCTCCCTCATTTCGAGGCGACTTAGAAATACTTGGATACAATATACTGTATTGGTTATGTGGGACGTTACCTTGGCAAAAATGTGAACAAAAACCAGAAGCAGTAACATTTTTGTTTGGTGTTTCTGCAGTGTAATTTAAAAGTTCGCGAAGCAACTTATTCGAATGGTTTTTGCACCTTGTCGCAAGTTCTAATGGATTTTCTTACTTGCTATACCTATCATATAGTGTCGTTTTATTTTTCGTGTAGGGAGCTTAGAGGAGTTGTACGCAGCCTATGCGCAAAATAATGTGATGGAAACTAGGTGACTTTGCTGGTGGTTATCGGTGATGTTTAACACGAGCAAATATCATAGTTTTACTGCGAGGAAATCCTAAAATTAATTTACAGTGAACGAGACGTAAACATACTGCCCTATCTTACTACTTAAGGTTATGGTAGAAAAAGAAAAGTTCTCGAAGCAACTCGATAAAAATATCAAGATGCTTCTGCAAGATGGATATGTACCTTTTCTGTGCAAGCTTTTTAAACTGGCTTATGAGACGCCATATGTAAGCAAAGTGGATTACGGGAGTGTTCAGCTGGTAGACTTTTTTTCGCATCTTCTGGTTTTTTTCGTGCATATTCTTTCGTGCATATTCTTTTTAGGGCTGTAGTATCAAATACATGGAAAACGGTGGGTGGAGTAGGTCAACTTTTCTAATAAACTTCATTATTTTCAGATTTTAAATCAGATCAAGACTCTGCCGTCGTCGTCTAAAAGTTCGAATTTAAGAAGCACCAAAGAGAAGGAAAGTGCAGAAACATCGCTGATTAGTGGAAAAATGAATGCCAAAAACATTTCACCATCAACGTCTCGTAAACGTGAAGGAAATACAGGAGGTTTAGGTATAGTTTTAAAAAACAAAGTATTGAAAAATATTGCTGTTGGGAGTCTTTCAGTTTGCCTTAATATATGTAAAGTAGATTAGTCTTAGCACTACCGTTACTTTATTAATTGGATCAGGTCATTACTTTTTTTTCGCGTACTTCCTTGAGTAAAGCTAATCTATCTATGTCTGTTTACCGCTTTTAATTATTTCTTCGAAAAATTGCTTCCAGGAAAACTATAGCACCTTTTGTCTTAATCTTTTTTTGTTTTGATGTCTAATCGTTTTCCTTTTCAAAGCATTTTTTTTAATATTTAACAGTTGTAATTTGGAAGAGGAACTGTCCAATGAATGAAACCGAATTTGATATTAACAAGATATGTCACATTTTTGCTTTCTATATTAAAAAAAATTGCCACTAATTTTGAGTTCACTTTGACCATTTTCCGGCTTGTCTTTTTTAATTTTGCATCTTCTATGCACTCACTTACTAATCATCGGTTGTAATTACTTCATTTTCCAATCCTGATTTTGGTTTACACGCCTTTAATAACTTTTCTGCGTATATCCACTATTTATGGAAGATATGGCTCAGGTAGCAGCATGTTGTCCGGCGAACCACCCTCTCCAAAGAGACGTAAAAGTGACCGAATTGCTAACCAGCTATCGAAAAAAGTGGACGATCTTCCCAGAATTAGCAAAGAGAAGTCTCCTGGAATTGGTAACAACAATAGCAACAAGAAAAAAGACATTAAGAACGAACCCGATGTCATATCTCATAAAAAAGATTTTAAGAAATTAAAACCAAGGCCTCGAACTAGCTTGAAGTCGATTGCTAAACAAAATGCACCTTCATCATCGGCATCACTCTTTTCTAGTAAAAGTGAGTAATCGTTTAAATTTTGTTTTTATGCATAAAAAGTGATAAAGATATGAGCAAACTGGATAAATTGCTAAGCATTTTCAAATTCTTTTTCAAATAAGACATGAAAACGTGATGTCTTGACTGCATCTTGCGTACATGAGATCGATCACAATATTTGGTAGTAATTATCCAGTTGACTGGGATTTGTATTACCAGATCTATATTGTGCTCTTCACATCACATCCACTTTTGTTCATTCTGGCATGGTTCACTTCACATTCACGTTTCTGAATTTTCTAAACACATAGTAGTCTTCTATATGTTCTGTAACAGTGTCAGGAATGTCAGAAGATTTGAATAATAAATTATGAAAGTATAAGAAGAGAAATAAATATACGAGAGGTAAAGGTGAATACTAAATGAAAAAATAAATCATAAAATTTTCAGAAGTGGAGGATTCTCCTGGTAAGAAACTACGTAACGTGATTCCGGGTCTTCAAAACATGAAAAATGTGCGACGGTCTTTGAAAGATACGCTTGTAAAGAAATATATCAATGTTGCTAATCAAGCTAAGAGGAAGCAATAATTCTAGTATGATTCGTTTTATTGTCTTGATCTCAAGAACTTTTTCAACAGCTAGGTTTCAGAAGAATCATTCTCGACACATAGCTAAAGTCCACAGTAATCAAAAGTTCCCGGGTGTTATTTATGGAAAATTTTTGCAAAATTGTTAATTCTATATCTCCAGTGTTTTCAACTTTTTAGCATTAGAAATGATGATTGGATATGTCAAGACAGAACTTTTGAATTACCTTCATTAGTATTAACGTATTAGGAGTAGGATTTACTATTTGCGGATCTATTGTAATTTCTTAAAACATTTGCCACAATCCTCAAAGTTTACAGCGTTCGTACTTTTATCTCTTGTTTCGAGTATTATTTCAAGAGTCACACCCTTACGTTACGAAACAATCGTAATTGATGTTGTTTGGATGTTTTGTTGTAAGCTGTTGGAATATAACCCTTCATGAAATTGGCGTTGGTTGCAACGTACAGCAAATAAAATGTAAAATAGAAAGAAAGCAAATGATTTGGTCGTTTCAGATATTAGCATACCTTTGATCTCTGCGCTATATGATCCGTTTTTATATTTCTTGATCCGCTGTCCATCATAATCCATGCATTCTTCACTCCTTTTTAGGGCAAAATGCTGAAATAATGCTCTTCTTCTTCTTTTTCGATGTTGAAGTGTTTTGGTGTGTAAAATGAAAAGTTTTTGTTGCAGTTATGTAATTTATGAAGTTAGGGAATTCATCCAAAATTTTGGCTTTTTTTGATAATTCGAAGTTTTTCAAAAACTAATAAGAAATTCCACGTTTTTTAAAAACTATTAAGAAATATGGAATTGGATCATAAAATTGGGTAAAATTTCTCACAGCAGATGTTCATGTAGATGCTCACGTTGTGAAGTTGATCTTCGATTCAGTCTTCGCATTACTGCGACCAGTGATCCAATTCTCGTCTTCGTGCAGTGTTACGTCACGTGAATACAGTGAGCTTGAGAGAGAGACGGAATGTTGTACATATCCACATTGTTGTTACGGTTTGACCGTCCAAATAATACTCCTCTCTTACAGTAATAGTGATCAGGGAAAGTATCATAGAGGAGTAAATTTCTCAACATCAGTCATGTTCCCGGATAAGCTATTTTAATTTCTGACTTTGACAAAATTCATCAGTTATTCTCCTACACGAACATTAGATACAATATTTCCAAATTTCATGTTATGAAATCAATTGAGCAATCATTATTAATATCAAATAATTTGATGAAAATAAAAAATTGCATTACTAACTGTAAATTGTGACACAAATGATGCCCACTGAAAATTATTTTTTGAATTTCCACTCAAAAATGACATCATTTTTGTGTGTAAAACTATGTGTCAATAAATTTCTGTTCATTTTGACATGATATCATAATTTGATCATTGAAATGGCTCTTCTTTTTTTTATGGTTTAGTAGTTGAGATTCACCGGAAGCAAACGAAAGTTACATCCTTATTTTAAGACTGTCTATGTAAATTGTTGCTATTTGAAAATGAAATTTTATTGCCTAACTTTGTTGGCACATGAAAAATTGGAGTTTTGGTTAGATTTTACGGAGAAACGAGCAGTTTCAATTAATACTTAATGTTTTGGAGTTGTAACTTTGAGTAAATCTTTTCCAAAAATAAAAACTGCCAATCATACTATTGAACTTCAGTTTGCTACGGCTAACTGAAAATTTTTTTTGACTAAAATTTGTTACATTTTCGATCTTACCATTATTACAGGTATTATTCTTCAAAGTCATTTGCACTTTGTCAATTTCCCGCCATGCATCGAATTTCTTGATTATCTGTATCGAAGGCTAGAAATTGTATAAGAAAAGTTCAAGCATAGAGATGGACCAAGATCAAATTGACTTCCAGTACGAATGTTGTTCATAATTTCCTGTTTAATACCTTAAATTCAGAATCAATTTCCCTTACTCTATTTCAGTTCACATCAGTTCCAACTTAAAAAGTCATTTTGAAAAATTTGTCAGGGAAAGTGGCTTTGCTTAATTTTTGGTGATATGCGAAGGCATGAAATGAATATAATATATGCTGATGGACGACAGCTTTATTATCATTGAATAAGGTATGGGGAATGAATGGATGCCTTTAATGGATTGATTTCGATGCAGTGCTTTTCTTTTTCTGCTGTGAGATTTTAGGCCCGGAGGGTAAGAGGGTGGAACATTTACGGTGCGATGAATATTTGCATATATAATCATCACACCGAGATGGATGAGTTGCCTTACTTTCTCTTTTTTATGAAAATTTTGATTTAATTTTAATGAGTTAATAATGGAGTGAACCACTGGCTGATTACCAGTATCAGTTCAGTATTGCGGTAATTCAAACGAACTTCTAAATACAACAATTTTTGAAATGTAACTGACAGAGCTGGCCCGAATATATTTTGTCTAGAACTATTGCTGTCCTGGACCAAGTGAACAAGCAAGTGGCTCGAAACAGTATCTTATGATACCAATAAATATCGAAATGGATCGAGAAACTGCAAAATTTCTTCTCCGGGAGAAAAACAATGAAGAAAAATTCATTACAAAGGGCTAAAGTTTGTCAATTGGTTTAACAGATCTTCAGGGACATTTCATTTCAAAATTCGTGTAAACATCATTATCACTTTAAAAGTTGAAATGTTTTAGAAATGTACAAGTTTTTGCTTCTCTCCATTTGTATCTCACTTTCCTTTTCGTTTTTTTCCTGGAAAATAGTTCTGCAAAATTTAATCTTTGCTCTTTTTTTTTGCTTGGTCAGCTTTTAACAGCAAATCGCACTTCAGACAAAACATATTCTCTTAAAGTCTGCTTTGGTAAAACTGCAGTATTTAGCTTTTTCGCAAAACGATTCAAATATTCAAAATTGAAATAATTCCAGGGTAACATAACTATTGCCACATGTTACGAAAATGATATCGGTGATAGGGAGGGAAGGAAGGAAGAAGAAATAAGACGAGAGTGAAGAGGAGAAGGAGGAAGAGGGGGTGATGATGCGTGAAATTATGACGGGAAATAGGTAGGAGGAAAATGGATCTAGGTGAGTAAATCTAAGTGATTTTCAGGAGTGGATGAAAAAGGAGGATGATGAATGCATTTTCAGTGCCTGGCAACCATCAAATACTGCTACTGAAGCATTATAGTATTCACTTAAAAAAAACACCGCCATCACCGTCCCTTTCATCCGCTTAGAAAAATTCATATTTATTAGCCTTTTGGAAGAAGTATGTATATAAAAATTCATTACCATGATTGATGATAAGGGATGTAAAAGAGGAAAACTTAGTGATGATTTCACAATCACGGATCAACCTGGAAAACGTAGAATTTTGCTCAACAGCAATTTATCATAGCCGGATACCATGATCCAAACTATTCCACATGTCTCTAAAATTGATCCTTAGGTCTTTTTTTTGACAACATATCTCTGATCTATTTTCTTATTTATCGAATTATAGAAAGAAAAAGTAGTATTCTCGACATTTCACGTTTCAAAGATTCCAAGTTTCAGACAACTGTGAAATGAAAAAGCTTCAACTTATGCTGAAGTACTAAGCTCCAACCACTACTTTTATCATTTAGTATCTATCATTCATTTCCGTCATTTTAATGAAAAAATATAAAATTTAGAAATTTTCGGATCGATAAGTGTTTAAAAAGATAAAAGTGTTCATACACAATTTACAGCTGGCAATATTGAGAAGTTTGAATTGAAAGAATACATCAGGAAATAGGGAACGCTATTTATGGTGCATTCTCGCTGACAATGATACTTTATGTTTGCGAAACGTTGATAGCAAATATGATGAAAATTCTGATTCATACAGGTGAAATTTCAGTAGTTTCGAAACTGGATGTATTTATGAAATCTTTTCAGTTAAAAAACAGAAAAGATCCCAAACTTAATTTTCGTTAATTTGAACAAAGGAAACTAAAATATCTGAAAAGATTACAGTCTAAAGAAAGAAAGTTTCTACGTCATACCATATTTTCTGTCACAATTAAGTCGAGTCAATTAAGCTATCATTTTTCGAAATGTTTTGAAATCTCATCTAATGATTAAAAACTTTTTAATATTAACGAAATTCCAATTTGTCTATGATTTTTAAAGATCATTTTATAATCGAATGGATATGATCCAGTGAAGGTTTTTCATCGACTATTTTAACAGGATAGACAACTGCGCCAAGTCTGTGCGTTTCAAAACATTGTAATCAAGGATTCGACCCATACACCACCCACTGGCAATGAAAGGTTCTTCATTACTAATGCAAGAGTAAGGCAAGCACACCAATACAATGAAAGTTAATAAACAAAAATGTTATACTTGTGATAAATAGAAGGACTCATTAGTTTTACTGATAATTTAAACAGATATGAGACGTGCAAAACGAATTTTATCAGTCACTACATGCTGGATCATCTGTTAACACCTGGATAGTTTCAACTAAATACTTGTCCTCCTTTCAACTCATTCGTATACGGTCCATCGGGTGGTAAAACTACTCGACTTTGATTGAGAAACAGTAGAGATGTAAATTTAAGGCTTTAGCCACAAAGGTAAGGTAAGGTAAGAGGTCTCATAGCAATTAACGAGTAGTTTTTAATTGCTGTAATGCAGTGATATGATGAATTAAAGGGTTAGCAGAAAACGGAATAAAAGTAGTAAAATAGTAAATCAAATAGAGAAATAAATGCCAAGTGACAATGGGTCAAATGACCTGTCAGCCTTTTAATGATTTGGATAAAATGATTATGGCCATTCATTCCGATCGAATACATATACGCAGAGGGATAATGTTAAGACAAGCTGTGATGATAGAATTGGGAAAGTGGATGAGATGGGATATTAAGCAACAGGAAGTATAGATAATGATGAAATGATGTGTAGCTTTAGCAGGTACACTTAAAAGTCGAAAGCGCTTCATCTTTCATTCTCTTAGATACCACCGCCATTTTCATCAGCTAAATTGCCCATTACTGTGCTCTAATACATTTAGTCAAAACATGCGCAACTGAGACAATAGGACAGGTTAATGCTAAGGATGTCACCTAATTGCGGGTAAGTACAACCGACCAGCTAAGTGGTACCACGGGTCATTGACCGGTCAATTCCGCTTCTGTTCGTGAAGGAACTGATAAACTACTTGGAGAAGTGTGAGGAGGAAGTGGAGCATGCGGTACACACACATACACACACACATACACACACACAGACACACGCACACACACATGCACACATATACACACACAAAGATTGTCGGTAATGTGTGGGTGGGCGTGAACGTAAGTGTCGCCCCGCCCTGCTACACTCCGCCCTATGAGATTGCAAGCGTTACAGGAATTCTTCATGCTCATTCCACGCATTCCACCCGAGTCTGTTCAGCAGCGTCGTGTCCCGTCGAGGTCGCTTTTTCGGAGGGTTCGTTCTCGAACCCACGGCGCTCGCTCGTTCCTCTGGTGACCGTAACTGCGAAACGTTCCGCGCCCCATTTTACTATTATTACTACTACTACATTTTATTACTCCTATTACTACATTTTACTACTACTACAACTACATTTTACTACTACTGCTAATACTACTAATATTACTACTGCTATTATTATTATTATTATTATTATTATTATTATTATTATTATTATTATTATTATTATTATTATTA